CAGGATCTCCCATCTTCTTCAGTGTTTCTCCCAACACAGCTTTTGAGCTTTGTTTACTTAGAACCACCTTAGAATGCTTCTTTAATTGCTTGCGAGTGTCTATCAAATCTTGCAGTAATTTCTGATGCTCGGGAATTTTGGATAAGGACTCGACAAAGCGAGTATTAATCGGGATCCCCTTCACATGCTTGAGAAACTCTCAATGCTCTCTTTCTAGTGGACTAAGGGTAGCATGGGAAGGAAAAGGCAAAGGCGGCTGATAAACCGAACTAACTACAGAATTTTTCTGTTCATGATGGGCCCAAGTTGTGAACTTATATGGTTCACGTCGTGAATTCTGGAATTCAGCAGCTTCATGATTTTCGAGCTTGGTCTTCTTTAGCTTTGGATCGGGCTGTTGTGGTTCTTCTTCCAATGCCTCCAGGAACTCAGAGATGGCTTCTTCTTCAGTGTCTATGGCCATTACATGAGATTGGGTCTTCGTTTCGGGATTTTTCGGGGATAACTTCTCATGAACTAGAGACCAACTTGTACTTCAAGGTTATGGATGGAGGCTTGCTGATTCTTTATTAAAGTTTTCTGTTCAATAATAGCAGAATCAGTGGCATCGTGTCTCTTTTCCGAAGCTTCTATAAACTTCATCAACATGGCCTCTAGATCGGGTTTCTTCTCGGCTGGTGGTTGCTCCTTTTGATAGAAGCCTCGACCTGTCTGCCTATACTTCTCTTCTTTTTTCTTCTTATACTCTTCATATGGCAGCCACTCCTTCTTCGGTTTCCTCCAGTCCTCATCAAACTTATCCCCACTCGAGTAGCACACTTGAGCTTTTCTGTTTCCAAACTCATCTAAATTGCAGTCCTTGGTCAAGTGTGGACCACTACATCTCTCGCAACCCACTCTTATGGCATGTGTTGACTGGTCCATTTGTTTTATCCTTCGATCCAAATTATTCAGCATAGCCATTACAACTGCTATTTCTTCAGTTTCGGCCCCTCCACCGCCTTCGATTCCATCTTGCCTAGGGTTGTGGTATTCGTGAGAGTGCTTCGCGAATTCTTCAATCAGCTCCTTGACCTCCCTTGGATTTTTCTTTGTCAAAGGTCCTTGAGAGTCAAGGAGTTGTCTCGTTATAATGTTGACCCCATCATAGAAGATTGACATCTCTTGTTGCACATTTAGATCATGCTGAGGGCAATTTCTGAGCAAGCCCTTGTACCGCTCCCATGCTTCGTATAATGACTCCCCCGACTATTGCTCAAATTGACTATTGCCTTCTTGAGTTTGGCTATCTTGGATGGCGGGCAAAACTGGTCCAGGAATTGCTCACGCATTTGAGCCCAAGTGGTAATTGTACCCGGTGGAAGTGATTTTAACCACTCCTTAGCAGCACCTTTGAAAGTGATGAGAAGCATCCTAAGCAAGACGGTGTTTCTGTTGACATTTGGCACATTGAAGTAATCTGCAATGTCGTTTAATTCATCTAGATGCTTAAAAGCATCCTCATGATCTTTCCCAAAAAATGGGATATCCTTCAGTGCAGTCAAGATGTGCCCCTTCAACTCGAATGTGGCAGTGGCAGGTATTGCGGGTTGGACTAAACCGGGACCCACATCTTCTCGGATCCGCTTCTTGTAAGCTCCCATGGACATCTCTTCAATTGCTGCCATCTCGTTCCTTGGCTCGTTATCGGGTTCGCTCGTATGTTCTTCAAATTCCTGCTCAGTGTCGTATTCGGATTCAGTTTGGACGGGTATTTGATCCTAGTGCTCAAAATTGCTCTTGTGCTTTGAGGATGAACTTGACTCTCCTGTCTTCTTTACCGACTTCCTTGAAAAAGCTGACTTGAATTCTTGTAAGGGCGTCTTTTTCTTTTGAATTGCAGACTCGGGATCTTCAAGTGGTGGCGCCAAGGGTGTGTTTGAGCCTCTGGTCATGAACTCCAGCAACTCGCTAAACTAAAAACGTAAAACTGAACTAAAATAAGAAAATACTAAAAACTGAAAATTGCAGCTTTCACGTCGTGAGTTTATAAAACTCACATCGTGAATTCTATGACAGAGACAGAAAACGAATTTTTTTTTGTTATATGCTAATCAACTAAGCTAAGCTAATAAACAAAAATAAATAACCAATTAACCTTTTTGCAGATTTTATTCCACAAAAAGGGTGGATTAATCTAATGCAACTAAATAAACTAATAAACGCGCCGTTCCCTAGCAACGGCGCCAAAAACTTGATGTGCACGAAAGTACCAACTAATTTTAATATTTATAACCTAACAAACTTAAACTAACTATGCACTTATAGGCAATGTACCTAGTCGGATTACAGTATAGCTTGTGTAAGTCGGGTGTCGATCATAGGGAACGGTGTTACTAATTAATCTATTTACAATTAATTTAACCTAATTATTAACAAGTTTAAATGGGGGTTTTCTCTGATTTTACAAGATCAGACGAACTTAACTCAAATTCAATAAGTAAAAACACACTCTTGTCTTGTCTGAATCCACTTCTTCCTTATGGTTAGCTAATGATTATGGATTATCGAGTTGGTTTTAATTGTATTAGTAATTTAGTTCTAACTTTACCAATAATTAACTAATTCATGTCAAACTATGTATGTTCACACACAATTAAACACAGAACTAATTATGAATATAAATATGCTATGTAAGATTTATTATATAAAAGCAATTATAGTCACAATCCACGTTCTCTAGCACAGCTAAGTTTATTTACTCTAATTACTAACTAAGATTGGTCAATCCTAGCTCTAACAATTCAATGTTCACTAAATCATTAAGTAAACAAGTTCATGCAGTTAATGGTCACTAAGCTACACAGAACATGCAATCAAGCAATTAGAGAAACAAACACAAGCATGCTAGGTAATACAAATCAAACACAAGCAATTTTACCAACTAAATAAATCCATAAAAATTGAGCTATTCATATGTTGGAAGCTTCATCTAGCGAAACAAGAGTAGCTAGATTCAGCTGCTCATAATAGCAACTAACATACTAACACAAATCAAAGTGATATGAAACATGTTCCTAGTTAACGATTAAATAAACTAAATTATGGACCTTCACTCTTTTGGTGTTGAAAGCTTTTTCCCAGAACTTTTCTCTGCTCAAAATCGCCTTCTGGAACTCCTCTCTCTATCCTAAAGTCCCCTCTATTCGTAATGGTCAAGGGTTTATATAGTTGTCGATTTTCACAAATTCACATCCTGAATAATAAGATATTCACGTCGTGAGTTTCAGATAACCGTGCCCGTCAAGGATTCCTTCACCCGCATACATATCTTCTAGAGCCAACTCTCACGTCGTGAATCTTCAAGTTCCCACGTCGTGAGAACGCTTTTTCCAGATTTTCTTCTCTTTTAATCTTTTAATTCCCAAAGTTTCTTTCATGAACGCTTTTAGTCCCTTTTCTTCAAAATGTCTTCTTTTTGGCTGTAAATAACATTTAAGCTCATAAGTACCATTATTCTAAACAAATTACAAACTTATTAATAAAAATGTACTTAAATATTGCCTAAAAATAGGTATAAATATGGCAATATCACTTACCACTATTGTTAATGACGTTGAAAGAAGCAGCCTAACAAACACCCCATCAGAATGATTACTACCACATAATTGTTGATATTTGATACTTTATTACTAAATGAAACCAAAAACAAAGTTAAAAAGTAAACAAAATCAGAAGGCTTTAGTCAAACTTACAAAGGTTGTAATTCCAAATATTACTAAATGACATTGATTGAACCACCTGCAGATTTACAATTTTGTCCTTATGAGATTCACTACTGAACACATTCTACAGTTTGTAAACTATAATATATATATATATATATATATAATCATTGTCAAAAGCAAGAAACTAGAAGTGGAATGTGATTGCATACCATCAAAAACCAACATTTTTACATGCCCATTTTTCCCAGTTTCTATTCACGAAACCCTAATCCATGATTGCTTGCTGGTTACAAAAGCTAACAAGTAGTACAACAAGTAGTAAGGCAGGCCTGCAACCAACCCATCCACATTTTTTTCACGTAAAATAGCTACCTCATTCCATAATTACTAAAAAATATATATATACTTCAATTTTCTATGTCAAGTGATAAGAAATAAGATATGTTAAAAACGAAGTGCAATGTGCACTTACTGTTATGGACTCGAGCATATAAGAGTCTTTCTCCTTTCCAATATTCCAAAGGCCTCCTTTTAATTTTGTTGCTTCGTCTCACTCCAAATGTCCAAGTAGACCCCGCTCCTATCATAATCATCCCCATTATATCATAAATAAATAAACCATAAGAAGAGCATCTACAACAGGTAACATTTTTTTTCCAATCCATCACTTGTATGCCTAGTTCATTTATGAACCATAGAAGACCATCTACAACAGGGGGAAGAGAAGCATCATGAAACAATTCCTAACTAACTAGATAATAATAATTATCTAATAACTCTACAGTAAATTTAGAATTTTAACTTACCTGAACTGATTGCATCTGTAGTAAATCCGCAAGTGCTTTTTTGCCTCAACTGTTATTGTGAAGAAAAAAGAAACAAAGTATTATTGCATATCAGACACATACATTTACAAAATATAGAAAATTACAATTATGCCCTTATATACCAATTGGTTAGTAGCCTAACTTTCATAATAGTAAGTAAAATATGATTAGTTTCATTATTATAACAAAAAACCCCAAGATTATATTATTATTTCACTTGCAAGGCATGACTCCTGAGCATGGGTCAAGTCCATTAAACAATAATACATCATCAACTATTAAAGACTTCCTAAACCCTGTTTAAATAAAATAATGATCAAAATGTCTAGTGAAATCCTTTTGCTCATATTGTGAATTTATATCACAATGAAACTAGATGAAAGAGAAGAGAAAAAACCATCCACGAGTTTGATCTAAGCCCTCTGCAAAATGTCCAGGGAAATTCTTTTGAAAGAATTCCTGATTTTCAAAAGGGTAGCGAATATGGCATTGACCCACTTTCAAACCAACAATCAAATACCTGAAATCATGCAACAAATAATATTAATTCATCAATCAAGAAAATGATATTGCTCTTTATTGTGAGAAAGAAATATGATTTTCTTACATCTTCTACATGATGAAGCACACCAAACTTTTCACCACGTGGGCTAGGAATTGTGATGTGATCAATTTTGTGGTGATGTAAATCAGTAACCTATGTTAAGAAAGAATATTATATATTTTAAAACAACCATTAAAGTACATTGTAATTACATGTTGGATTTATACTTACTTTCACCCCTGAAATTCTTTCAAGTTCTTCAACTGAACCAATAGCTTCAATATCTACACCATCTTCACTGATCGAAATTGGGAGAGGAGTGCCCCAAAATCTACTTCTACTAATGGCCCAATATCTTGCATTTTCCAGCCAATTGTGAAACCGTTTTTCCTAGATGGAATGGAATTGGAAATGAACGGAGTGGACATGGAAATGGTAATGGAATGAGTCATTCCATTCCTTTGTTGACTAAATCATACCAAACACTGTAAATGACCTACCTTAACAAAACCAGGAACCCATTTTGTTTTCTCATTGTTTTCAAGTAATTGATCTTTCAACTTTTCCACTACAACAAACCTTGACCAAGAAACATGAATAAACTAATCATGATACCACGTTATCCCACTAAAGATAATAAAGATGAGAATGGCATTCATGTCTTTTGCAGAAAAGATAAGTAAAAAGATGTACTAGCTGGGAACTGCTCTGTAGATAAGAGGGGTATCAGATCTCCAACAAAAATGATATGAATGTGTAAAGCTTCCAAATTTTAGCAGTCTGCCCTTGTCCTGAATACATTTATAACAAAAGGTAAGGAATAATCATTTTACATAAATTCCACTATTGATAATTATATAACATTCAACTATTCTTGCCTTCACTACTTGAATGATATCTTTATCTGCTTCTTTGACATATCGACCAATGAAATCGGTAAATTTTTCTGTAAAGCAGCCATCATCATCAACTGCCATAACTAGATTTTCTCCCTATATATACAAGAAAAAGTATAATTTGGTTATGGGAAAAAAAGTTATTAACAAAGATACAATGCATATGTGATCATGTCTACTTTCTTTCCGAGGGGTTTTGCATAGCAACCCAACAACTTGAACGTAAAAAGAAAAAAAACAAGAAAGTTATAATTTTATGAGATAACTAGTAGAAATCAGTGAGTGTAAATTGGTAAAAGATGTAAATTTTCTTACATGTGGGGGGCATTTTTTGGTAAGATGGGATAATACTGTTGCATTGATTACCTCCAACAGAGGCTTACGCTGAAATTATGTAGACGGTCGTTATTTGGGTAGAGAAGAAGGCTGAAATTCTGCAAGATTGATCATATAATCTAATGCTATCATGAAGCCTGTCACCCCCCAAAACCGGAACGGCGGAAACGTTCGGGGGTGGAGGACGTCATGGTTAGTATCACGAGATATGTATATGGTAAGCAAGTAATGAACAACCATTTCATTTAGAAAGAAAGTGTTTACAATGTGTGTGTTCACAAAACATAGAAGTCATAAACAAATAACAAAACAAGACTTAAAGCTATAATGCTCCATCTTCTGAAGTCCCAACACGAGCACCTGTCTAATAGTCTCCTAAGAGTACAAGTTATTTGAAAGAGTTGATCAACAATTAAGCTGGTGATTTCATAAGATTTTAGTGATGTGAATAAGCTGTAAAATGTGGTTGAAAATGTATATGCACAAGTGATGTAAGCTGTAAGTTCTGTTTTGAAAAGTTCGCCTGTTCCTCTAGAAAATCCTATATTTCCTACTTGAATGAAAGTTAAGTAAAATGACATTACAAGTCTTTCTATGCGTACTAAGTGGGTACAAGTTATATATACTCAGAGTAAATAAACAATCGATTGTGCGCATATGCGCTAAGCTCACAACCCAACGGGAACAGAAAGTAAGGCGGATAGCACACATTCCATTGGTTATTAGATCGTTTTCATATATAAACTTGGTGTAATCACTTGTTACTCATGGAATTATTTGTAATGGTTCCTTTATATCTAACGAAAAGTTCTTTTAAGAAAACCTATATTTCTTATAGTAAAATATTGACTACAGTGACTACTTTTATAATAGCTTTGTTTATACTGCTATATATAATCTGATATCGGGTAGAAAGTTAATTGGGTGAATCTACCCTAAGCCCACAATCCAACGGGAACAAGAAGTAAGGCGGAAAACACACATTTAACTATCTATTGGACATTAGTTTTATATATAAACATGGTGTATAAACTAATGTGTTATAGAGTTACTCACCTAAAGTCTCTAAAAATGTACTGGCTTAATAAAATGGATTAAGCCCTTATCTGGGAAATCTCTAGTTTTGTATACCAAAAGTATTGCCTTTGAAAAGTAAGTTTGTACTAGAAAAACTGTGTGTTGACTCTGCGTCCTATGACCTGATCCATACCTGGTACCCTTATGATGATTTAATGTATACTAAGCATATATATATATATATATATATATATATATATATATATATATATATATATATATATATATATATAGATTCGGGTAGATAATAGATTGGGTGACCTCATTCCAAGCCCACAATCCAACAGAACAGGAAGTGAAGCGAAGAGCACACATCCTATTAGATGTTAGAATCTATTAGTATATATGTATCCTATAGTGTATACATTAAGGAATCATAAAGCTAGCATTATGATCCTAACCATTAAAAGTAGCCTTCTACCAAGACTCGACTGTTTTGATAGTCGCCTTCTACCAAGACTCGACTGTTTTGAAAGTAGCCTTCTACTAAGACCCAACTGTACGACTATTAATAACATTGACACTGGAATTTTATATCCTTCTGTAATTGTCGTAATGACAGTGTAAGTCCTGTAGTATTTGTAATAAGTGACTACTTTAAGTACCATTTTGCCTAAATTGAGGGTTTAGGCATAATGTGATGGCTAGATCCTATGCTAAACGCTCCCTTGTCAAGAGATTCTAGGAACTACACGCGACCTCTGCATGAGTGCAAGCCACGAACATCCACATTACTATGATCATGTATACCCAATATAACTATCACAATGCGTTGTGATTCATTGGTATAGTTAGATCCTGAAAACGTTCCATGATATACCACCTTACTATGTTATGTTCTATATATATATATGAAGACCCTTGCGGATATGATGATTTAACGTTAGAATACTATAGGAGTATTTTGGTCCAGATAAATAACTTATGTGATAACTTAAAAGACCCTTGCGGATAGGTCTATAATGTTACAGGGTATATTCATAAAGTTTTATATATAATCAAGATCTTATAGACATAGAATCTGTGACCGACGCTTCGCTATCCATTCCTCTTAAGGAACTAGTGTTGAGGTGGGATCAATTATTCGAAGGTCTATTTAATCTTCAATTATATACAATACAAACTAGTGTAACTTGTACAATTATAGGAGGATTCTGTAAGGATCACCCCATAAAGTTACCTAAAAGCTCATAGGTTCTTTAGTCACTTTCATTCTCGCACGACAAGCCCAG